GAGCAAGGATGCTACTAGGGGCTCCTGGCATCGCTACTAGGAGCAAGGATGCTACTAGGGGCTCCTGGCATCGCTACCAGGAGCAAGGACGCTAGGGACGGAAAGCATGTGCTGGAGTTCAAGATCGCTGAAATGCACCTGAAAGGGGATCTTGGAGACGCAGGCGCAAGGTAGGCGAGGCGATGCTATGAGCGGTGCGCGATGCGAGGTGACGAAGTGAAGTTTGCAGGAAGAGGAATCCTAGTAGCAACACGATGTGGAGAGGTCTCCAGCATCTGAGATCTCTTCTTCAGTTCCTTTGCAAGACGGGGATGAACCAGCTCCTTTGGCAGATGTGCTTCTCCAGCTGCATTGCAAGACTTTGAAGGTGAAAGAGGTGAAAGAGATGAGTTTTTACGCGAGGTTGATGAGGATGGCCTGCCATCAGGATGGATGTGAACACCAACGGCGGTTCAGGGAGTTGGATGTTTGGTGTGATTTCATCGGGCCCCCATGTAAAACTGTTTGCACGCGCGGCAACAGGGGGGCTTCGGAGTGGCATAGTCTTTATCTAAAGCGCATTTTATTGACCGCTTTCGGAGATGTAATGTCGATCGATCATGAAGCTGAATATGTTTGGTTCACGTCCGTTGTTGTTTCTTTGTTATTGTGGTGAGCCTTGCATGGCTCCTTTCAGTTTAATGCTGAAGGAAGCTATCATGGCACTATGGAAGTCCAAGGACGCCAGTAGCACCAAGTTTTCCTAGTGATCACCAGCCCAACGGCAACAATAGTGGTCACAAGCTCGTTGAGGATTCTTGTCAGTTGACAAATAATATGTAGTATATATATAAATTAATGGATCAACCATTTTCTCATGCCACAAGACTCAGACACCTGATCTTATCATTTGCTGTCCAACACCCTTGTGCACACCTGTGCCCCGGGGAATCCGTGCGGACCGGTGCCGACGTGCGGATGCTGCGCGGTCTGGTCTGACCGAGATGTCGACAGAAGGATTCTCGTTGAAAAGACCAAGCGAATGGTTTTTCCGTTTTTATTCTTCCTCGAATTGTGTTGGGCTCCTCGAATGGTGTTTGCAGTTCCCTATCGGTGCTTTGGGTTCTCATCTTGAGGTCCCTGTCTCCAAGTTTTGGTCGTTCGTTTGGTTGGTTGGTTCTTGCGCTCCTTTGCTTTGCCTTGCTTTACCTTGCCTTGCTTGCAAGGTGGGTGGATCTGAAAGATCAGGTTTCGTGGCGCGGGGGGGGTCGCAGCGGGGTCGCAGGGGGGTTTCTTGTGGTAGTGCTTCGCCCCCAAGAGCGAAAGGGGAAACGCGTTGGCTCCCACACTGGTAGGTAGCTGAATTTCTTTTGTTTGATTCTTTCAGTTCTGTTTGTTTGGTTGTTCTTTGCTTGTCCGTTGGCTGTCCGTCTGTTTGTTTGATTGGTTGGCTGCCTCTCGGTTGCTTGCTTGCTTGCTTGATTGCTTGCCTGCCTGCTTGCCCGCAAGCCTGCTTGCCTTCGGAAGTTCAAGCAGAGTGATTTCGCGAACTTCCTGTCATTTTGCAATGCTTTTGGTGGAAGTTCTCTAATTTTGGATCACACGTGTGTGGATTTCCAGGTTTATCAGGCTTTCCGGAGGTTATGCAAACGAGATCCTGCTCCGATCCCAGCGAGAAACATATTTATTTACGGCTCGGCATGACCTGCTCGGCTCAACACTTGTCATGCCCGTTTTCAGTGTCACAACTTGTGCTGCGTGGTCAGGGGCCTAGTCGCTGAAGCGAACTGATGTCCTAGCTGCTTAGCTCTTTTCTTTCACCACATCGAAAGCAAGACATAATAGGTTTGCTGTTTTTCCAGGCGTACGTGCGATGCCCATGCGCACGTGAGCCAGCCCATGACCGGTATCGAACGCAAGGCTGGTGAATGTCGGTGGCTGGAATTTGCCTCAAGGAAACATGCAGAACGTAGGAACTGTGATACAAGAAAGGAGAATTCCAAACAAGGACCTGCATTCCATGCAAAATTAATAACGCCTCATTTGATGCCTGGTGATGCATTGGTTGTCACGATCAAGTGTTTCCGTAAGCTGCTGTTGCGTCATAGGCTACAAGGATGAAGCATGTGCGAAGTCAAGACACTCCAAGCAAAACATGTGCTCGAGCTTTTGCTTGTGAGCGAAGCTACAGATTCAGCCCAGTCTTTGCAGAGTAAATGGTGTTGGGAGACTTGTTGCTGCAGGCGACTGGACGGGCTCTGGCTAAGGCCATGGACGGATCGTGGAGGGTGTCACAAACCTTTTTGCCATCAGGGTATGGACCAGAATAGGGACGACTGCACCTTAGAACACGTTCATTCCAGCCATGTTGCCGCATGCAGCCAGAGCCTTTGTTAAGAGGAGCTTGGGGTGAATTATGGAACTGAGTTGGCCGATAAGAAAGCAACCTCAAGTCTTCGTGAGACATCGAGAAAATACCCAGTCACAGGCACCGGAGATTCCTTTTTTTTTCAGTAAATTCTTATGCGTTTAGTGAGGTCCTTCCCCTTGACTGTGACCCCAAAAAACGGATGCTGCAGTCTTGGACTCTGTGTCTTCTGATCGCAGCCAGGAGCCAAGGAATACTAGATCGAGCAATTGTGTCGAGCAGTACTTCTTTCTGTGTAAGTAGACTCTAAGGATTCCTCCTCAAGAAACTCTGCCTCCCCAGACTCTTCACATTGAAACGTCTCGCATGGTGGTGTGAAGCAGACCGAGGTCTTTCCTTTATCCGTGTCATCCAGCTCTCTTAGACAGCGCCGGAATTCCTGGAACTGGATTGCAGAAGCACTGAACCTCGGAGATATGCAAGATTTCTCAACCGTCCTGGAACATCAGGTTCTCACCAGCTATGGACTATTATCCAATTGAACATGCATGCGTTGAGTCGAGCCTCAACTTGACAACGTATACAGCCAGGAAAAGCCCAAAGGGGAGGTTTTGAATGGTGGATCAGAGGGGATCAATCAGCTAGACAGAAGGACCATCTTTGAGAGGAAGTGTTTCGGCATGCGAGGGCGAACCCACCTGTTGAGGTTGTTAATTTGCTCTTCTGTTGTTGCTGCAACTGTGTAAAACAGAAGCCATGCAGAAGCCGTTACAAGTCCGCTCAGACCTTCTACACTTAGGTCGTTCCATTGGATTGTACCAGGTGAGGGAGCGTGTTCGGCAGCTTGCTTTTTGTTTGCTCCGATCGCCTTAGCTACTGATGCTTCTTCGATGCAACAGGCATCATTTTCTCTTCGGTGTCTTGTCCACCAAGGCATTTTCGCTGGCATAGACGTGTGGCCGGTCATAGACGTGGTTCAAGTGAACAGATTTGAAAGTTGATGTCAGCAAAGAAACGGGCATGTGCATGACAGTTTCACATGAAGAGTTCCGAGGTTGCGCACTTCCCAAGATGTTGTGTAGAGGTTCTCACTTGTGTCACTTGTCACACCTCAGATTTCACATGTTACTGGCTGCCTTAGCTGCCTTCCTTCAAGCCATTGCTCGCCATGTCAGACATCGAGCATGCCAAAAGGTGGGGCTCTTGGCTGGTAGAAATTGGCCGAAGCCGACAAAAAGGGAGCCACTTGCAAGTGTACTTCAAGCATATCCTGATGTTGGGTACCTCTTGGAGAACAGGAAAGTTGAATTGCTGCGGAGGGAAGGAACACTGACTGGCCTTGCAACACGACCTGTTTGACTGGCCATGTGCTTCAGGCTTGTTGATGAATCATCTCGCATCGTGGTTCTCACTGGGGCAGGCATCAGAAGCTAAGATTTAGCATTAGTCTGCTTTGCTGGGCTGATTTGTTTAACTCCATTTGGAACACCTATTTTGTGGGGCGTTTTGCTAAAGACACCGGGCATTTTTTAGGCCAGAGCTTTCGTCGCCGAATGCCCCCTCTTTCAGACCAACAAAAAAAGACCAAAGAGCTTTTGAGCCCTTGTGTGAAACAAGTTCATTCACAAAGCAAGTGAACTTCTGAAAGAAGTTTCCAGAAGCAAGAAGCACTTCCCACGGAGCACGGCACGTTACGAACCGCAAAAAAACACCACCGACCGCATCACCACAGACCGACTCGCCCCGATCTGAGGCACGGACTCGGGCATCCCGGATTTCCGTGGGCCTGAAGGACTTTGGACCAAGAACCCCGGTGCAGAGGAAGCCTCAGACATTTCGGTCTTCTTAACAGATGAGAATGCGCGAAGAGGGTTCCTTGGGCGAAAGGGAAGAGGGCCTCGAACTAGTTAAGTTTCATCTAGGAACCAAATCATTAGAGCGTGAGCTATCCTGCGTCCAGACTAGTAGCGTGTTAGTACGGTACTAGCTACCTCTTCTACTAGCTACCTAGCTGCTAGCGGCCTAACCCCCCGCAAAAAAAGCGTTTGGTCCGGATCCTCTGCCTTTTTTTCCCTGGAGTTCCAGTTCCTACTTTAAGGTAACAAGAAGCTACGAAAGGGGCTCCTGGCATCGCTACTAGGAGCAAGGACGCTACGAACGGGGCTCCTGGCATCGCTACTAGTAACAAGAAGCTACTAGTTCCAGTTCCTACTTTATTCATGTTGATTCGCATCTCGATGCGATGTCTGAGGTTTTGGGGAATGATGCGGATGATGCACCAGGCTGCCATCAAGCCCAATGAGGGTCATCATGCACTGGTGCGCTTGGAGGCGGTGCATGGAGGAAGAGAAGGGCAAGAGAGAACAGAGTAGAGTTTGACAATCAAGATTGGAGGATGAAAGGTCTCGCAGCAGCATTTGGCGCTTTTGAGAGAGCCCTTGAGGGTTGTTGCAAATGCTTGAAGAAAATGCCTTTCCTTCTTTCACTCACTTCTGGTTGATCGGCCATCTCGCCAGGAACGTGGCAAGCTGCTGCTACTGGTCACTCAGTAGCTCGGTGGATGGGAAGAGGATCACAACGGAGAAGCGAAGATTCGGCCTTGGACATCAAAAGCTGTGAAAAAAGCGCAAGATTTGCTGTTTGTTTTGGCCGACTTGCAGCGCTTGCTTGACAAGGAATGTAGACGGCTTGCATCAAGCAGCAGGTAGCTCTCCTGACGCCGTGGTAGAAGTGCACGGCAACACTCAGGAGCAAAGCAGCTCGAGTGAACTGACAGGAGGATAGGACGAATCCTCAGCACGAACTCGTCAGTCAAATCCTCACCACCAATTTCGTTCACCAGCCTTTTGTATGTTTCGATGAAGACCCACAGGGCTGATGCCTGGGCCGCTGTAAATTAAACGTGGTCAGGTAGTGCGGACGATCCTGATTCCATGCGTTCCATCAGGAGAGCTGCTGCTTGAGCTGCTCTGAACGTCGTCCCATCGAGGAAGCGCTGGAGGAGGAATTGCCCTGCTGCCAGAGCTGTGGTGGCTTGTTGCATCTCGGATGATCTTGATCTCGGTTGTGCAGCCAGCGTTTGGGACTATGTGAAAAGGTCACCGAGTCACCCACAGATGGATCACCGTTTTGACTGAAAGCTTGCGAAAAGGCAAGCATGATCTTGCTTCCAAAAC